CGCACCCCACCGATTCTGCTGGCCGTTTATTGTGCCCCTCAAAATTTAAAGCACCGGAAAGAGTCTAATGGACCATGAAAATTCCACTCTGGCATATGAAAGACAATTTAATGCGGATAGGTCCTCGAGAGCATGTAATAACATAATATGTGTATTGTGTTGCCCTGTTCAAGACGTCTGAAGGTCAGATCCGACATGGAAGTAATGGGAGTCGGTTTTAAAAATATTTCTTCATGGCTTAGTTTTCTCACAGACTGCAGATACAGTTTTCAAGCAATAAGAATACGTTTCAGAAGCAGTCGTAGTGTAGCTGTTTCATTGCCTCATCAAAAAGACTTAAAAAGAGGACTCCTAAGGCTAATGCAAATCACACGACGTTCTGAATGTTACGCACACAAGCTAGGAAACTAATATTAGCCTACATTACCCGAAGACTTCAAAATAGTAAGTTTCTTCTTTACCTCTTTTAGATTATCTAATTCCCTTTCACACACATGTACTGAGCATAATTATTAAAATTCAGAAAATGAACAGAGAAAAAGAAAGCACGAAAAAAGAAGCGAAATCCCAAGTATAGCGTTTGATCCCGTGTTTCATTGATTCCCTCCAGTCATTCAGTGGCATAACCAAGGCATAGGAATCTTTTTCTTTTTCTTTCTACGTTGGGAGTCAGTGATATTTTCTCCTTTTTCATCCCCCGCCATGTAAGTACGTTCGTTAACAGCCTTCCCGTTCTTCTTATCCAGCCACGGTTTGAACTGCCTGAATACTCGACCGCACCAATAAAGATTATCCAGTTTATGGCAAGGCCCAGTTTAGAGTCGACATTACCTCTGGCCTTTGTCCCGTGCATTCAGGTGTTAAACAACAACAAACCAAGACTTCGAATTCCCTAACTTATCCGACAACGTGTTTGATAGATCACGCCTGACAGCTCCGAGAAAGACTAGCGTTAGGTCTACGTACACTTTAGAATAATGAGCGAGAGCCGAAGACTTTCGCTTCTAGGCTAACCACAGAGATCGAAACGCTGGAGCTGAAAGCAACGAATTATCAAAGACGTCTTTAGGTTTACGTACCTACTAGAGGACAGCGTTTCATTAGACACAGCCCATTTAGCTTTGAGGTTAAGCTTGCAACGAAGTCGTTAATAAGTACAATTAAGCTCTCTAGTTTACACACGAAAAGTAGATACACATAGCTCAGAGAACGCACGTCATCAGAACAGTTTTGCTTCGTAAACAAAGAGGACTGTGACCCAGCGACAATCTGTGATAAATCAACCATCGATCTTCCAATAAGTGTTACGTTCAGACATTGAAACTGACGCCTCAATAGAATCCAGTGTGTCTTGCGTATACTCATTATTTAACGATCTATCAGCGTGTCATCGTGATCGGACCGGGGGGCACTCTACGGATTATGCTAATTTAAACGTTTTAAAAATGAGTTATAATAATACATGACATTCACCATCTACTTGACATTCCAGCACCCAGAGACCACTGGAAATCTGTGTTGTAGTGGGGAATTGAAACAAAAGATGAATTTGTTGGGGGGGGGGGGGTTCTTTGATCTGATCTAAAAATCAAGATGTTGCAACACTTTTATCCGAAGATTTTTTGGGGACAGTGCCTACACAACAAAGATCTTGGGAAGAGTCGTTTTAAATCAAATTCAGGTAATGGGATGGGAGAAGCATGATGCGTCATTGCGGAGAACGGGTACATGCCTCCACTTTTTTTTACAAAACAAACTCAAACGAAACACATGTACAAACACACAAAGAAAAATCTAACAATGGCCCGTCCGTAGAATACAAAGAATATTCTTGCATGGAGAACATAGGTTTTACCCCCCAGACTGGGACTGAAACCTAAGACATTCAGATTTCAATGGTTCCTGTTCGGAGTGGCCGGCAATACCTCCCCCTGTGCGTCTGTCATAGGCTCAATTAGCAAGTATGTCTGAGGTCTCTGTAACTCTAATTTGTTGAAAATGGTTTCTTTGGACTTCCCAAAACCATATAATATAGTAAAAAGCATTACATTTAATTTATGATCCCATGTTGAAAGAACAGTGTTTTCATTGTTTGTCTATATGTCTATCTTTCTGTCTGTTTGTCTGTCAGTTTTGATCTCCCTCCCCCACCCCCATTCCTGAGTTGCACAGGCTACGTATACACTCACTAAAACGAAACATCTATCTATCTATCTATCTATCTATCTATCTATCTATCTATCTATCTATCTATCTATCTATCTATCTATCTATCTATCTATCTATTCCTTCACACATTCTTCACTTTGTATCTCTATCCAACACAGCGCTCACATAAATCACAATTTCAGTACAGAACAGATAAATCTAACATACAACCCCTTAGCACATTGATATGAGAGGGTATAAAAAAAGCTCTCAAATTTCAAATGCCCTGTAAAATCAATAAGTCAACGCATAAAGTTGAGTGTGTTCCCATTATAACTCCCAAGAACGAGTGTTATCGATATTTTGAGAAACTCTTATCGGTTTCATGAAAAAGGAATGATACTGGTCTATGGTACACCCGTCCAACCGTTCAGGTACACTGGTATACCAATCTGAACTTTGGAGAGGCAATGGCTTTTAGACATCTGGCCTCCAGTTTCTAGCACCATGAAATTGATACGCACTGTGCCTTTGTTCATACTGTTATAGATTCAGAATTATTGGTTTTCTGATAATCAGAAGCTGTGTGGTATACACCACTTCAAACCCTCGAGGATAGAAATATCTTCAGGAAAGGCATTAAAGCAGTTAGTAGACTGTCGGGATCTAACACATTGAAACTTTAAGTGCAGTGGACAATGCTAATGGGGGCTTCAATTTTTACGTTTTAAATAATACTGATTCAGTAAATAAAACAAACAACCAAAACAACCCCAATAACCTGTAATGTTGATAACAACGTGATATGAAACGGGTAAGTAACACATCTTTCAGAGAATCCCTAAACCCCTGTGTGGATAAATATTGTGCACATGACAAAAAAGTCGAACATAAATTAACATTATGTTCTGGGCGAGTGGCAGAAAGAGTATCAACTAGCCAATATCATTGAATTTTGTTCATTTATTTGTTCCTTCGCATCTACATATTTGTATCCTCAGGCACAAAATAATTGCAAATATTTTTAAAAAAGCATTTCAAGTCTCGTTTATATTTTAAATTACCCTTTCAAGTAAAGCTGAATGGTCTTTGGGAAACGCGTTTTAAACACACGAGGTGCCTAATTTTTTAAAAAGCAACAACAGTAAGAAATGAAAAAAAGGACAGAGACGTCAGATAGGTATTTTGAACACTAGGCTAAAAAATTAAAATTGCTGAATATTCGGATGGCTCTTCTGGAAAGTATACGTCAGTATAAAATAATACTTTGACAAAAGCATTTCTTCATTCTTTCTTCCTTTCTTCCTGTCTGTTATCCTCTTCTTGTCAGTTTTTAATGCCGACTTGCATAAACGATTTCTTTGACGTTGAACATATTCCAGAATTTAATTACCCACGATCACGAACTCATTATTAGCATTTAAGCATTTTTTTATCATCGGGAATTTAAACAGCAATTTTTTTTAAACCTCAACTTATTTTAAAGTCGTTTATTTATTGTACTCGTACATGTCACTGAAAATTTTGCCAACAGATTCAGTAATATGGGAGAATCATATTTAGTACTTAAATGAATCATCAAAACCTAACAGGCTTTTTCCCTAGAACTAGCACAGTAATTAGTAGATATGAAATGTAAGAAAGAAGTTTGGCTTACTACAAAGTCCTCAATAATATTCCGTTAAATTATTTTTTTTTATTTAAAAAAATAATTATATATATATATATAATCTTTAACCGTAGATGCAACAGAGTGTGGCTGTTATGATGAAAGATCTGGTTATGTTTAGTAGTGACTTAGCATAATATTTTATACACATCTTAATGAAAGGAGGGCCTTGTCATGGTATTTTTCTGAACCCCCCCCCCCCCCCCCCATTAGACCTGATAATGCAATCCGTTTGATAACATTATGTTTAATTAAAGGCACTTGTATGCGAGTTAGCATTTGGCTGTGTCTTGTGTTTTAAATGAAAGACGAGCGTGGGAAAAGGAAAGCATAACTTTGAGTGCTCATGAGCGCGTACGTCCACATTTTGTGTGCATGGAAGCGTGTCTGTGTGTACGCGTGTCTACGTGTTTATATACATATATCTGTGTCAATAATATGCAGTAATCATAAACATGTTTGTCTGAGTGTTCATTTGACAAATTAATCTTTCGCTCGTGTTTTTGGGCTTCTAAGGTCGAAAGGAAACGTATCTTAAGTTGGGGAAATGTTGTAACGCCACTCCCCCTCCCTCCCTTTCGAAAAAATATAGAAAAACGTGATTTGTATAATAAGGTTGTGTAATTTGTACCGTGAACTGAGGTTCTGCGATATATACATGAATATAATATTATTATTTGGGAATGGTAGAACAATGCGTTATGACAGGAGGCAAAGTAGTGACTATCTAGTAAAACATGTGATTGGTAGGTGAGTGATAACAATTTTACACAAAATGGGGATTAATTGAATAATACTACTTTTGTTTGACTTTTAAGATTAAACAATTTTCAACAAGGGCAAAAGTAAAGCTTTATCGGCAATTATTATACTTCCCAATTCCTTTCCTGTGCCATTAGAGCGTCACCGTCTTGGAGTATACCGAACAAGCCATTGTTGGCATTTCTCTATGGACTGCTGGCGAATATCCGGTGGTGGCGTTTCTCTGTTGCCTTGGTTACAGGTAATGACGTGATGGAACCGAATGTCAAAATCAGGAGGTGTTATCTCGAATGTGGTCTCCCTAAAGTTGGGCATCGTTTGACCAATGTCTGGCAGTCGGGCGTGCGGGCTAGGAAAAGAGTTCGACATAGCAACACCAGCGTGATGCATTTGGGGTAGTTTTCTGGCCGAGGTTTTGACCGTTCGAGATAGATCTTGAACCTTACCTGAATCCCTTTGAAAGTATCCAGGACTGCTTCCATTGTTGTTTGAATTGTTGATAAAGCTGTTGTTGTTATTGCTGTTATTACTATTGTTATTGTTGTGAAGACGATTGTTGGCTTCGGGGTTCTCTCTCAATGCGTAGGCTGTGCTGTGATCACTCGGTAAGGACACGTCACTTCCAGCCAGGATACTCCTGCCGTCCTCGTCCCCGCCCACCGCTGATCTCCCGTTCCCATGACCACTCGTGTTGTTCTGGATGGAGAATGCGTCCGTTTCAGTCCGGCGCTGATCGGGATCCCCAGGCCACGGTATGATCTCCGTCTCTTCTCGGCTCCTGCTGGGTGCGTAGGCCTGCGACTGACGGTCTTCCTCCTTTTTCATCTCCTTCAACGTTTCATCCACGGCGTGTCGTGCCTCGAGAGACATCCGAGCGAAAACTCGCATACGACCCTCGTGAACGCCTCGTGAAGTGAGAGGCAACACACTCTCGGGGACATCATGACTGAGAATCCCAACACGTCCGCCATTCTTGCTGTTTATGTTGTTATTATTGTTGTTATTATTGTTGTTGTTGTTGCTATTGCTGTTGGGGTCTGTACTGATATGTGCCAGAGCAGGATTGTTGAGGAACGTAGCCGGACAAGACTTAGTGGTCTTGAGACTGACGCGACTCATGGACGTTTTCACAGCGCGGTGCTGACGCCGACGTGGCTTGCTCACCTCCATGCCGCCTTCTCGTGCTGTTTGGCACTTTAAGGTCTCGTCTTCTTCCCCATCCTCGTTACCGTTTTCACCTACACAATGTTCGTAAACGTCTTCGTCCTCACCTTCAATGATGGGGCCAGTATTCCTGAACAAGAAAACATCATCATCATTATCGTTGTCCTCTTGTAGGTTGTAGTCGTTGTTCAAATAGTTGTCGTTTTCCTCAGCGAGGTGGGAATCGAGGGCGAGTCGAAGTTCTGATGCTTGTTGACTGTCACCGCCGGTCCCACGATGAGCGTTGCTCGGGTCGTAAGCCGAAGACAGGCGAGTGAGCGCAAGACTTGAAGGAACGCGTGTCACGTTGCCCGAAGTGTATGGCGTGTTATGAACATACCCCGGGGCCTCCTGGTCTTCTACAAGTAGCCTTATGTCACCAGTACCACCATCGGTGCTTGAAAAGGGTTTACCAGCCTGTGTTTCTGACTCGCTAGCGCGTAGATCGGCACAGGTGACAGAGCTGCGAACTCCCTCTGTCTTGGCAAGGCTCTCTCGCCGCGGGTACTCTACGCTTTCCGCCTCATTAGCGATGTCTTGACACACCGAAGCACTTGAAGGACCGGGGCCTGATTTGTCGTCGTAATCCACAGTGCTGTTGTCGTTGTTGTTGTTGTTGTTGTTGCTGCTGCTGTTGTTGCCGCTACGCTCTTTACTCTGTCGCAGTGCTGCTGCTTTAGTACGACGCGCGATGTTTGTCTGTGCGGCGACGTGCGACGGGCGACGGAAAGTGAATCTGGCCGACTGGTTCAGTATTTTTGCGTGCAGCCGTTGGTACTTCTCTTCCAGTACCTTCATCCAGTGAGGGCTCTGCGAGGCGTCGGGTCGCTGCCAGCTCGGCTCCCCCGAGCCCTCTCTGCCGAACGCCATGTCAAAGCGAGAGAAGCGGCACTTTTATCGCAGACTTTACCTAATGCCGGCACAGCACAGCGCTTTGGGGCGGGCAAGGACCGCCAACTCTAATGTTTATTAAAGTCAACAAACCCCGGTGCGTGTGTGTACACAAGGCTGAGCTGAGAAATTAGCTGTGACTCGGAACTTACACTGTAATTGTTTGCACTCTATGGTACCCATGCGGCAGCACACAGCACAAAAGCCGACAGAAAAGCTCTCTTGGCAATTTGATCGTTCAGTATTCAGAGATCGAATGGGCCTAACGGTGACACTGGGTCTGGCAATGCCTCGTGCCTGGAAGGCTTAAGATAAAAGGTTAAGCACTTTATGCGCTTTTGTTCCCAGAGTAAGGGCTATCAGTCTTGGTTCGGGTCGGATACATTGAATTTAAATCCCTCTTCTACTCCAAGACCTTTCACTACTGTTGTACTCAAGTGGTGGTTACTCAAAGATCATCTATCCACGACAGTCGCGCATTTTCTGAAATAAGAAAACAAGAGATGGAAGTGTTATTATAGAACATTAAATAAGTCACACAAGAGTATGATTTTTACATGGTATAGGTACATAGTTATCTGTCAAATAAAAATTGACAATTTCAAAGCCAGTTATGATGTAAGTGTCAAAGATATGTTGTGTGTGTGTGTGTGTATGTGTGTTTGTGTGTGTGTGTGTGTGTGTGTGTGTGTGTGTGTGTGTGTGTGTGTGTGTGTGTGAGTGAGTGTGTGTTTATGTGTATGTGTTTGAATTTGTATCTGTGTCTGTGTCTGTGCTTGTGGTTCTCTCTCCCCCCCCCCTCTCTCTCTCTCTCTCTCTCTCTCTCTCTCTGTCTGTCTGTCTGTCTGTCTCTCTCTCTCTCTCTCTTTCTCTCACTCTCTCTCTCTCTCGCTTCTCGTTCTCTGTGTGCATGTGTTAGTGTGTGTGATTGTGTGTATGGGTATGTGTATGTGTTTGTGTGTGTGTGTGTGTGTGTGTGTGTGTGTGTGTGTGTGTGTGTGTGTGTGTGTGTGTGTGTGTGTGAGTATGTGCGTGTGTGTCTGTGCGTGAGAGAGAGAGAGAGAGAAATAAAAGAATGAAAAAGAGAAACTGAAAGAGAGAGAGAGAGAGAGAGAGAGAGAGAGGTGAGAGAGAGTGAGAGAGAGAGAGAGAGAGAGAGAGAGAGAGAGAGAGAGAGAGAGAGATCTGGTAGATAGCTTAAGGGAAATACACACACAAACAACACGCATAGGATAAACAAGCAGGCAGACAGAAGGGCCTGAGATTGATATTGGGCAAGGTATAAAAAACAAAGGACTTGAAAAAAGGTGCATAATGAATTTTAAAAAAAAGAAGAAATACGTAATATAATCAATAGTAACAAAAACTATTACTTTGTGAAAGACAGAAAGAAAAGCAGCATTTGAATAGACAGGGATGACGCGGGAAGGATGTAAAAATCAGTTTTCGGAGAAAGGAAAGTGACATCAAGATAATATAGTCAAAAGGAACCTTGTAACCATTATTGCCTCTAAAAAATAGAACACTAATTTAATAATAATATACCCTGCGTCAAAAGGGTTTTTGATTATAACGTGGCTGCCTTCTTTTTCTGTGGAATCATTGACTAGCTTTGAGATGATGATAATCATAATAAATAAATACATTTTATGTATAGCGCATATCCCCGCTCGATAGCAAGCTCTGTGCGCTTTACACTATGTTATTACCCCTGCAGAAATAGCACGCTCAGAAACATTCTCAGCTTCCCGGGAAGCATACTACAGTGCAGACAGCTGACTAACCACTCAAACACCAACAAGCTGACAGGATCTTTCACTGTCTAAATAAGGGTACACATTCCCACCTAGGTGAAGTGAGGAAAATCCGTGTATAATGCTTGTCCCAACAACACAACGTCGGGCCACTGACGGGATTCGAACTCACGACCTCACGGTTGCGAGTCTTAGAGCCTAACCGCTAGGCCACTAATCAAGCAGACATAAAACTACGAAACGTCATCACTTACAAAAAAGACAGATTAAAGTTTTGCTACTTTTTTTAAAGCCAGGGTATTTCTGAAAACACGTTCCTTGCGAAAAAGTGCAATGAATGAATAGAATTTAGACCATTTCGTATTGTGAACGCTTTCGCATTTTCTGCAATAGCCTAAACAATCGCTGGATTCCTTACCATCCTCAAAATTGTAGAGAACAGGAAGGCTTTTCAGTTCGTTCTAAAGTTCACTGTCATTTTCTATCTAATTTGCAGGCAGTACTCTTTTGTATTACTCGTTGTTAGAAGGCACACACCTTTTACAACTGAAAGACAAAATTGTCGCAGTAATAACTAGGCTTTATAGAGGAATGTTTGTGCACACACACACACACACACACACTCACACACACACACACACACACACACACACACACACACACACACACACACACACACACACACAAACACACAAACACACACACACACACACACACACACAGGTGCAAAATTCCTTCTGCAAACGTACATTTTGATATTACTTGCATGAATAATAAATAGTTACAAAATGATCTTTAGCCCCGCCCCCGCCCCCTTTTGTTTGTTTTTTAATTACAAGGGAAGCAATAAGATTAATGTACGTAACATGTACGCAACGTAGTATTTAAAATTAAACAATTTTGAAAAACAAGGGAGGTAACATAAGTATACCCGTAACTCATTTCAATATTTTACGGTTATTTCCCCTGGTAATGTCAAACGATTTTGAGACTAGCTGGGTCTGCTTTTTCTTCTCGTTCGGTGTGCACACTCATCTGGTCTGCTTTGAATGCTAGTTTATTATTGTCTCGGCTGCTCCACCCAATTGCCTTATACTGTCTACGCACTCTTCATTTAGGTACCAATTAGTATTTTTTCCCCCATAATCCTTGCAGAATTGATCACATTTTAAATTTTCGACGATATTTTAACGTGCTCCGAATCTCCCACTTATTCCGCCACATTTACAAGCTTATCTGATAGGAATCTTACTCATTTTGTTGCAGGTTGGTGAAATCAGACTCTCGTCAAAATAATGAAATTGTATAAACTGACACTCTTCACCCTGCTGGGCAATTTTTATCCTTTTAAAAATTATTTTGCTCAACACTTCTTCACGTCTTTTAAAAACAAACGTACAAGCAAGTTTCTATGAGGGTTTTACACAAAAAAAAAACCCTATCAGAGTCAGAAAAATGTAAATGTACTGAGGGTTTTTTAAGGATACTAAAGCTTTGTAAGTCACCAAACTTTACGGCCATTTACTCGCTTGTTTTACCTCTGACACCCAACGACCCCCAGCCTCCTTCAAACGCAAATAGCTTGACTTCTATTCAAGATAGATGGGTAATGTTTTCCATCCAAAGAAAGACACTTACCAAGCTTTAAGAATAGTCAGATAGTTCCGTATGCCCAAAATTGTACGATCGCCTGATTCCACCGTGTCGTCACACATTTGGAAGTAAGCATGTATAAGTTAAGAAGCTTACACTACTGTACTATGTATAGGAAAATCTTTCCTCGGTGTCTTTAGTTTCCTGGAAAGGCTAATTTCGAAGAGTTTGTCTGAAATATTGCTGTGCCAATAACATGTCGACTCGTCTACAATATTTATGTCAATTGTGGCTTATTCAATAGTCAAGGCAAGATTTCTAATGTCTTGAATGCTTAGTGACTTTTATTTTCTTATCGGCACGCTCATGAGATATAAATGCCTAAGTCATTTTTAGCCTTTTTTGTGAAGGTGAGAAAAAACAACTGTTCCTTTCGAAGAACTGACTCTGTGAAACGCTTGAATTTTAGTACACTCATCAGTAGATTTTATTTTTGGATAATTCTTTTATCCAAGTGAGCTACATTACCAAGCTGGCTCTGCTTTTCATTTTAGAACCAAAAACTCCACACCAGCCAGAAATGTCTTAGGCAATTATCTTATAAGCATGACGATAAGAGGTAAGTTAAAGGCCCTCGACTTTTCTCTATCATATCTGCAGCATACTAAGCACAACATCTGGGGAAGTATGTCGTGGTCATGGTAAGGTTCTTTCGTATAAACATTGGTTCGATTCCCAAGTAGGCAATATACATACAACGTTATATTGAATAATTCTGTACATCTGCTGGTTTGAATACCTAACATCCTTGACTGGCCCTTGCGGAGTCGAAGAACCCGCCCCCTTAAAGATCTAGATTGTGTCTACAAGAGCATGAAGCATTTACATTGTTTAGACAAAGAAGAAAAAAGTGCAACGCGCGCTCAAGTTGAAACATTATCTCAAACCAAAACGAAGCAGAACTGTTAACACTTAACAACTAGTTTCGCAATTTCATTGAGTTCAAAGCTTGCTCATAATTTGGTACACTTTTCCGGATGGCATCTGCAGTCAGTACGACCCCAGCATAATTCTACGAAGTTATGCCATGAGAGTGTACCATTTACATACATTGATTAAATACAATGGTGATGACTCACTGGTGAAATGTTATATCTCAGGGCACCTTTAGACCAAAAGTACACTTGACATAGGCCAGTGTTTGATTAAAATTCGATCACACATCTCATTTATCACCTTCGGTAGCGAGATAAGCATGAGGGTGAGCGCATAATGATCGTCTGGGGGTCTCAGTTGCGTGTCCGGATCTTTGAAATATAAAAGAGATAGACCTACAAATTAACCTTTATTTCCCATGGGATGGGAACGAGCAAATAAAGGAAGGGGAGCTGGGACGGTATAGAAACTCTCTCGTCAGCGTATTGCCAGGAATAGAAACGAATGCCCTTTATTCATTCTGGTATCTCAAGTCTGGAGCTTGCTATTAATTAATTGGGGCTAACAAATAATTTATATTTTACTGAAGTTTATTTTTATACCTTTCTGAGAGGTTTGGATGAAGTTTCAAAGGATAATAACACATCCATAAACACACGCCCTCTCTCTTTCTCTAATACGAATATTACCCACCAAAAGTTAAGAGGCTATCCTCGAGGAAAGAGAAGGAGAGGAAAGCAAGCACTTGGAAGAATGACTTAGATTTGGATCTAAAACAGACGGGGTACAGCTGGACAGAAGTGGAGACTGCAGTCCAAAATAGATATACATTTTAAAGGAGAGCTTTTTGTTGATGGCCTTCACTCTAGCATGGGGTGACAAAGGACGACGACGACGACGACGATGATGATGATGATGATGATGATGATGATGATGATGATGATGATGATGATGATACTGTTAAAAAAGACGTTATTTCTACGTTAAATACATTTGTTTCCACGGTTCGCAAACTATAATTTCTAAATGCTGTAATCGGGGTATCAAGGGTTAGGATAACCTTAATTGTGTCGACCAGAAAACAATTTCGGCCAGATCCATTACCCATCTGACGGGGGTGGGGAGGTTGAGTGGAGGAACTTGTAGCTTGCATAAATTGTGACGATGCCCTTGCGTTTTAAAACATGGCTCTCGAAACTT